CCCGCTTGCTAACTCAAATCGGTTTCAGACCAATGGAAACGGAGCTAACATCATCCGTGATACCCGTAGCAGTTCACACGAATTGTTAGGTGAAAATCGTATGGATTGAAATTTTTCGGTCTATTATTGAATAGATGTGTAATCATCTGCAGAAGCATTTAAAGTTAATTGCTTGATCAGGGGTTTATCTTTCTTACCAAATATCAGACAATTTACTGGTACCGAATTCTTGTTCGTCTTCTTTTCATATAATTCGTATTATATTTATCCATACTGAAGCTGGCAATTATTATCAATTTAAGTTTATCCAGTATAACTTTTGGTCGGACTGATGTAGATGTCCTGTTAACAAGCTTTAATCAAAACAGCTTTCCCGAGTGTCCAGTTAACCGGATGAACAAAGGATATAGCCTTTACCGTAAAGCCTAAGCAATGGTCAGCCAAATATCATCTGTCTCAGCCTGCAACTCACAAGTAATTGTGAAATAAATGGGAATGTATATTTCCGTTTATCACACCACTCATGGAATACACATTTTAAGCTATTCTCAATAACTAATCGGCATATCAGGCCAAAGATTCTTTCTCTTTGNTAATCGTTACTTATGACCTAGAAGACTTCAGTGAATGGTTCATCTTCCGCCGAAGTGAAAACGCAATCAAAATTAACTTCAATTGTTCTCTCATGTTGTACACATTTTTCGTAGATTGCAGAAATAAGAAATAAATCATAAATGATGATAAAATGTTCCTATGCGTCATGTACCACTAATTTCCGTTTTACGCTTTATGCTCTAACATAGATACCATTTTTCTTTATATTATTTACCATTATATATTGTGGGCCATATTCTCAGATGTTAACACCAAAGATCTATATTTTTACATTTTGCGTGATCCCGTCAGTTATGGTGAGTGATCCGGGGACAAGGCCAGACCTAGTCATGTCATGTCTGAGTGTGTGTGTGTGTGTGTGTATGCGTCCGGACATATCCAGATGGCGTGTAACGTCATGCAAAATCACACAGACCAATCCTGAACCGATCAGACAAATCGTCCTGGTCATCAATCATGGTTGACCGATTCGACTGATCAAATCCAGAAAAGCTGTACATACAATGATGGGCGAATTTTCACTGTGCTTCACTAATTCCAGAGAAACCAGAAAACATTTGATCCATTGAACCGTTACTAACAGGGAGAATGACATGATTACAGAGATTAGTGGGGCAACAAAAATTAACGTTACTCATTTGTATCAAATGTGTACGAAATGACATTGCTGAACAGAGAAATGATCGTTTAGCGATCAATGAGTGCTCCATTTTCGAATCCAAGGAAGCTAACCCCTTTGGCGCTGATCAAATGCGTGAAATATAATTCACAAAACGAGAGGCATGTTTCCATTCCCATACTAGCACATCATGAATTAAGAATTATTCATTGCAATCTTCGGCTCCTTGTGCTTTGTTCTCAATTCCCCAGTACCACCGTTTGCATCTAAAAAATATTAGTTGTCAGGTTACCTTGGAAGTAATTCAAAAGTTACAGCCAAAAACAATAAAACATATGGTGTGGTGCAGCGTGAGATTACAATTAACTAAAAACTGATTATTGCATAAGAGTAATGGAAGACTTTATTTTAGTTTATATGATAAATTCGTCGTGTAAATGAGGCGTGAGCTGAAAAGCTGGGAAGCACTACACAGCTGTTTCGACCTGTGAGGTCCTGGATTCGATCCCCAGTTGAATCGATGAGTTCGCACTGCTCACGAAACCAAACCAGGTCGAAACGGCTGTCCAGTGCTTTCCAGCTTTTCAGCTCACGCCTCATTCCCCCAGATGAGTTCATCATAAAAACTGATTATTGTTTCCCACGGATGTTTATTCTATAGTCTATGCTTTTTAATAGCAAACTATTAATACGATGCGGAGTAAATATTACATCCTCAGTAGTTTTATCACGATATTATTAACAAATTGTCTCTAAGCTGCTCCCACAAAACGCCTCGTCATGAACAGAGAAAAAAGTCCAAGAAGCGTAAACATGACCTCAGTATTTTTAACTTTAGGACGCAGCTTGTTGAATAAACATGTTGCAATTTAACCAGTAGCAAACCGAATGAAACATCCAAACGTGTTTTGTAAGCATGTAAGTTGCAGAGGTGTATAAATCCGGCCCCCGAGTTCCTGAAACCAAGGGAAGACGATGATGATATACGGTTAGTCTTGAGAAGAGGTGCACAGTTCCGTTATCGAAGAAGCTAAGTGCGCATTTCCGCATTTCCACGACTAGGATCCGCCGATGTAAGGCCATTATTGAACGCCAAACAACGGCACGTGATTATTCTACGGGTAAAATCAATTTGCATCAATATTCCATGTTGCGTTCGGTTTATGTTATTAGTGAATATCTAGTGATTGGTCAATAATACCCCAGCAGTGAAGGGTCATATGTAACTGCGTAACAGGAATCTCCATTGTGCGATGCCAAATTGTGGTAATCGGAATTGTATTGAATTTAGGAATACGAGAATCCGTACTGTACCGCTCAGACCTGAATCGGCTTCAACCCGAAATGCAGACATCAAAGAAATACACGAGGAATTGAAAGTAGCAAATGCTTATGTTTATTGATAGAATTAGATCATGTTTTATAGAATTTAATAGTCAATATGATTGATTGAACGAGCATCCTCTGATCACGTAACCGTTTGCACCGACGTATCACATGTACTAACTCGGATGTCATGTTCGCCCGGTGTACCATTGGTCGAGCTTCCTGAACGGTGATTGGATGACATGAAGCTGTACCTAATCGTGCATGGATTGCGGTCTGGATCACCACAGAATCACAGGTTAACCTATAAGGATATTGTAATACGTTTTATGTACCATTTGTTGCCAATTTTTCAAGGATTTACACTAAGTGTGTTAATTAGAGCTGGCTTGCGACCAAATTTAAAATTTGCAACATTCTAGTTTATTTATTTTCACGATGGAATTTGTTTGCAGGTCTTTTATCGATGCATTTCGCGTGTAAGATCTTGTTCTTCAGTTTCTATTCATTCACACAAATGTTCAAAGATTTTCTCATTGAGTACGGCATTTTATTATTTTTGTTTTTCATATGTTTTACCATTTCAAGCACAGTTACTGTCTTTTGGGGGGAAACAATATTTCTAGAATCCCAAAAGGATACTTAAAGATGCTTTTCGTAGTACAGGGATAGCACATCAATTTTTGAAACTGATTTATGTGACGTCTGATGAAGTTGTCCTGTAGGATACATTGAATTTGTCACTTTTCGTGATATGCACCAATTTCTCCAAAGAGTTCATGACCATTTAGGTGTTCAGCAGTTCTGGTTTTGCCACTATAATGTCCTTTGTCGTTGGAAGTTAGTGTAGTGGAGAGAATGGGAGAGAATGCTCCCGACCGCTATAATGTCCAGTATCATAAGCGATGCTCAAATCTATCTAGAAAAACGATAAGGAGAGTGCAGAACATTATTGACTTGGAAATAGTGAATAAAGGAAGAGTGCTGTCTATATCCCCTTTCACAGTTAGGCTCAGCTCACGATCAGAGATTCTAGGCCGAACACAGGCGTGTGAAAGATTTACTTCGCTTGTCGGCCACGCCTCCCATAATAAGCACTGTCAAATGGCGCTGATTGGGGCTGCAAAATGGCCAAAATTCACTCAACTAGCGACCAATACTAGTGACATTTATCCGTGTGCACGCCAGAGATGGGCTACTATTTAGGGCTGTGATTTTACAAACCATCACCAGCAGGAGATGCACAGTGACTATCCTGGATAAGGTCACAGTGGTTTGCAAGACCGATTTCTTGTCCAAGAGGCTGCAATGCGAAAGCCACACGTTCGATTGCAAATGATTGGGGCACTCCCTAAGAACAAAGTGAGCACAAAGTGAGCCAGGATTGGTGCATGGGGCATATAAAATGTTCAGATAGATCAAAAACATTACCCCCGAGGAACTCGACACCGAAATCTAGTGGCTTTGTAGAGTTCATATGAAAACATGTCAAACCAGTACCCAAAACCAAGGTCAATAAGCTACTTCCCATATACATAGTTCCTGTCTTAGATGCTTAGAATTGAGAGAAGAAACTTTGAAAAGAGATCATTGAAAAGGCTGCTCATCCGAAAGAGCGAAAGCTCATTGGCAAGGTACAAACACTGCAAAAAACTAAAGGAAGATTTAACCTCCCCGGCAAACAACAAGCCTGGAGCAACGGCAAACGGACTACTTCGGGGCCCAAAACTTCAAAGGCTTGTTAAATATCCCTCTGCGTTGAACTTTAGGCGGGCCACCAAAACAGTTGCGAAAATATTCTAAGCGTATATGTAAGCCACTGCACACATGGGGAGAGTGGAGGCGTTGGTTTTGTCTGAAGGACTCGCGGTCAAGTATAATCGCGATCGGCGGAAAACTACTGCTTTCTTTGTTCAAAAATGAGTATAGGATATCGGTGATTCTAGATAACCCCGGGGGCTAGAAAGAATAGTTGATTAGCCAAAGTTCGCCAAAATCACTATCTGAGACATAAAATGGAGATCGAGGGCTCGGAAGGATAAAAATCACAAGTTAGCAGACCTCGATAAAATTAATCTGACCATAATGCCTGGCATTCTAGCCGGTCCGCTAACTATAGAAAATCAGTACTTCGGTACACAAGGTCTGGGGTGCAGTTACAACATTGAACTGCACAAGTCTGGATCAAAGCACAGATCAGAAAATTATAGACGCGTCAACTTAAGGCCGGTATTATGTAAGTGTCTGGAGCGAATGATCAGAAGACGGATTTGTTTAAACCTTACTAGTAGCCAACTCTTGAAATCGACTCAGCATGGTTTCGTTGAACGAGTATCATACACAACAAACCGCTAATCTTCCTCGACGAAGTCACGCAACTTGTGAATGAGGAAACATGTAGAAATATGCTATTTAGATTTCTACAAAGGAGAGCCCGGCAATGCTTTTTAAATCCAAACGCTTGCGATCCTCCCTACAGTGCCTCGACTGCAGTGACGTCGTATACTTCCGTGGTAACGATTTGCGACTCGCATCTGGTATAGTCACACGACAACTGGGTCAAGCCATGGTGGAAATTACCGACTTGAATGATGCTACTGTGCACAAGCGACACGTGGACCAAATCCACTTCAAATCATCCACGGACCTGCGGCATCAAGAGACAAGCGAGGGCGACAGTCAGTTGCATACCCCATCAGCACAACCGACGGAGCCGCATGAGTCAGATGTGCAGAAACAACCAATAGAAATACAAGGACACCGCCAGGAACAGGCGGAGCCAACGATTGATGAGGCACTCTTGAGGGAAGAGAGTTGTGGTGACCCAGACTTCCGCGACCGCAATCCATGCACGATTAGGTACAGCTTCATGTCATCCAATCACCGTTCAGGAAGCTCGACCAATGGTACACCGGGCGAACGTGACATCCGAGTTAGTACATATGATGCGTCGGCGCAAACGGTTACGTAATTGGACGACGGCCCTTCAATCATTCATATGAGCTAGTGCCTTCTATAAAAACCATACTCTAATTCTATCAATAAACATAAGCATTTGCTGCTAACAATTCCTCGTGTATTTCATTGGTGACCGCAGTGTGGGTTCGAGCCAATTCAGTTCTGAGCAGTACAGTACGGATTCTCGTATTCCTAAATTCAATACTATTCTGATTACTACATTAACCCAATGCATAACTTGCTTAAGCCACACCAATTAAGATGAAAAGTCGAAATGCCATTGCTTTTGCGGTAACTAGCACGCATGAGAAAAAATATGCTGTCAAGATACCACAAAACCTGTGGAGGCGGAATATCTAAGGGTCAGTTTCATGATAGAATTTGCCTCAGATAGAGCGAAACCATTACGCAGCAGCTCAGGTTTGTGGTCAAGGATCGGTTGAAACAATGACATGGAAGTGCGGGTCTATGTAAACGAGTGTACACAGAATGAGACAACAATGTGAGGGCATTTTTTATCAAATGAACGATTTGATTTACCAAAAACCAAACTTTGACCGTTGCTGCAAAGGATTACACACTGGCTTTTTCCTTAGCTAATCATTTTCGAAATTTTCCTATTTAATTGGTCAACTGAGAATTTCGGCAGATAGTTCTTTACAAAATATGGGTATCCGAAGTGTAATTGCAGTGGCACACTTATGGGAAAACCAAGGTCGTACTATATATATATCATAAAAAGTACGTTTAGATAGCTAACACTATCTACGATAACCAAACACGATTTACCTCAGCAATCGAGTATGACAAAGCGCAATACGACTATTGCTCCCGGAAGAGTAAGAAGGCGGATAGCTCGTGACCAAGGTTTATAGGATGAGACCTGCAGGGAAAGGTTTACACGTGTAGGCGATGCAGCGTGACTCACCGGGACAAGTGACAATTCCGCGGTTGAGCGTAAACAGGTAAGGTGCACCCGGTAAAACAAAATCTCGTAGCGAGTAGAAAAGAAGTCGTAGGTAAAAGGTGAAAGTGGCGTGTCACTACATACGCCTTGACACAGCGGACATACATTGTGTCGATTTATCAGCCGAGTCAAGTCAAGTCAAACTAAGGTTTATGCACCCGAAAGAATGACAAAGCCAATGGCATCTTATTTGCTTTTATTACCAAGAACGGGCTGCAAATAGTTTGATCCCGTTTACCAATCTAAAAGAAAGCATTCGTAATATGGGTGATTGGTATGTTTTATATTGCATGAATTGGCTTTCTAAATGTAAACATTTAGGCTATTCGCCTGAGCCACCTATTAGGAGCGGTATGTTACTAAGGGTTAGTTGTCTCTTGCTTACA